GATGACTATCTGATTATCACTGCGGTTTTACCTGCCCAAAATTCTTTTTTTTATGCAACTTAGAATAGCAAACAAGCTGACGGTCCAAATGGAAAGTGGTAACCATCGCCTTTAGACATGAACAGTATAATGGACATAACAGAGGATTCCCGGACAGGATATTCCTAAGAACTAAGGTCTTATGCCTCTGTACCCTGTAAATTCATCGTCATATCCCAACCTTCAAACTGAAACACAGTCATACAAACACAACTGCTTCACTGTAGAAATACGAATAGGAGAGAGGAATTCATTATCTTCCGTCCTCGTGGTTGAGAAACCACAATACTAGAAATACGAAATTTTAAATTTTGGATTTAGTAGATTTGTCTTATCTAATAATAGGACATAATCTCTGTCAGTCTGTTACGACTAGTTTTCTTTAATGTGTATAGATAAGCGTTTAATAATACCTGATATGATAATAGAGTAATGAAGATAATTATTAAACTGTCTCGACTAGTTTCATTGTGTTATTAACGTCTAAATATCTGATAATATACATTATTAATGACCTACATTTATCAAAATTAAAATGGACCAAATACATTCTCTGACGCGCTTCGTTGAAATAGTCCTGTAAGGAGACGTAAAAAAGAGTAATTTTGTTTATATCTTTGTTAATTATAATTTATGGTGCGTGTGCCTTCAGCTTAGGGAGGCGATGTCTCGGTTCGTGCGCGGAGCAGGAAGTGCCGTGAGACCTTGCCAAGTTCAACGCCATTGGCGATGACAACGAAAAGCCCACGCGCATCGTTCGCCAACCACCACCACGTTTTAACGCTTCCGCCTTGATGAGAAAAGTGACCTTTTACCTTGAAACAACATGTGCTCTGGAGCATTGAAAGTACAAAAAATGTATGAATCAAACTATTAACCCCGCATTAAGTTTGGTTATATTAAATATTCACTAAAAATACTATGGAAAGAATTTAATGATGATGTGGTATGTTTATAGGTGACGGTTACCACTTTCCATCAGGTGAGCCGTCAGCTTGTATACCATCCTAAGCGTCATAAAAGAGATTATACGTAGAGAGCGAAATACTGTTCACCGACTGATTATTAACAAAACTATTTGACTTACAGCTGCTGTTAGATGAACTTACACTTTTTGATGTAAACTTTATTTAATACTAGAAAACCTTTGGAAATTCTACAAAAATAAATGTTAATAGAATAAGTGTGGGCAAAGCCGCTGCAAAAAGCTGGAAACTACTCGATTTAGCACTTTTGTCTTCTAGAATTTAAATCTTCATTATAAAGACAATTACGAAACACTCAATTATTTTTGGAGATATTATATCTTTGTAAATAACACGGCAAGCGAATAAATAGCATTTAGACAAACTACAACTTAGGCATTGCAAAAGCGCCGCACTAGGTTATCTAACTTAACCTTTCAAAAAGAGCTGCACGTTCGCAAAAAAAATCATTGTCCGTTCTCGATTACGCGACGTGTCCGAAATGAGCACGATGGATGTTCAGTATGACACGGATTATGTAAACAGCATAACGACACTGACCTACCGTCGGCTGGTCACCGCGCCACTTTCCTTTCATTATTGACACACTATAAACGGACAACACTATCGCTAAGCTTTGCTACGTGACGTTGCGTGATTGCTGATCGATGGCTAATATATATTGGGTATATGTAACAACAACATGATATAATTACCTAATTTTAATATTCAAAGATTAAGATCAACCTGATAGTTTTAATACAAATTTTGGATGATTTTCAATATTGTTTTTATAAAACAATCGATTTAAACACGTAGTAAAAAGAGGAAGTTCTCGATACTCTGTATTTTTTGTATGTTACGCGATGTCTCCTATTCTTTTTGCAAAATCTTTAATTATATAATATCCTGTAAGAAACCGAAATAACGAATGCTCGAAATAAGTACTTACTGTAGATGGGTTTTTAACATATCTGGTATAAAGAAAGGAAAACTCTTTCCAAACTATACACATATACAATTCGCTATTTCATGGTCTTTTGCACTGTGGATAGGTAACCACACCTGGGATATTGACGCCATTGGACCCGACCACACATCTTGTTTTTTAATAGGAATAGATACTGTTTTTTTTTTTAATGATAACTAAATGTTGTGGAGTGTTCTTACAGTAAATTGCGCAAACATTTTTCGAAACCAAAATAGCAAAGTAAGATAATATAAACTAGGATCATGTCTTACTAAATTTAAACTATAAAATTAAAACACTTTAACGTGGTAATTACAATGACTAAACAAATAATAAAGTAAAGATCATGAAATACGCTTAATTTACGTACAAAGTAGTTAGAAAAGTTTCATGATTTAACCTACCTAGTTACAATACAATATATCGGATGACACATCCAAACCAAACGCTCGCGAGGTCGTTGTATATATTACTTTCAAATTTAAATCAGTAATTCCGTCGTCCTTGTTAATCGACAGGGACCTACTGAGAAACAAACCAATCGACCTAATTATCCATATACATAATTCCAATTGTTTAAGGTATGTACGCATTGAACAATTGAAATCGTGTTAAAACGTAATATTAATGGTAGAAACGACAGTAAATAGTTTAAAGTTATTTAATACCTACATCAAAATCATAGTTTTCTTGCAGTTAATAATTTTAACAGTTTTTAAACAAAAAGGCGCCGCGTAAAAAAGTAATAAATAGACGAAGAAACCTGTTAGAAATTTTCAAAAAAGTATGAAAGTATATGAATAATACCCGTCCTATTTGCCGTACTAACACTAAAGCAAGGATTTTAGTATAAAAATCAGCAATCATAAATAATTACCAATGTTTTATACTTATTGTTATATATGCACTGTGTAAACAATAAAGTAATATACATAGGCAAGTAAGCGTAAAGAGTGAAGAGCAGTGAACATGGAGGGTGCCATAAAAAGTGAAAGAGTTCGAAAGTTCGCTTCCTGCATCGCGAGTGCATAAGATATCGCGGCACGCGCGGATTATAATCGCGCCATAATACCTAACTCCGCGTTTGTGCAACACGCTTATGCAAACTGCAATCGTGCGAATCATGCGCAACGTGTGACGATGCCATTATCATTTGCGGCCCGTGTAATATAAAGGTGGATATAGACTAAAAGAACAAAGGGGCATAATAACAGAGGAAGAACTAGAACGTATAACCAAATAGGTATAGTTACAATAATAAAGCATAAACAATGTATAAAAACAATCATAAATGTAGTTAAGCAACCAAAGCATGCTTTTAAGCATCTTTTACAAAGTTTAAAACAAACCAAAAATGAAGGACTCGAGGAAGAATGAATATTAGCTTGCTTGACTATTGAGGTAACAATTGCAAAATATTCTAAGAAAATGTTACTAAGATTCTTTATTATTAATAACTTTACAAGTGCACATACACAGTGTATGTGTATGGTGCATATAGGTATATAATTATCATAACATCTTCCCTGGATTGAGGTTCATTAGTCAAGTCAAATCACGATGATATTTGCTCTAAACAATAATTTTATTATAATACAAGTCCCTATCGGGCATAGTTGCATAATAGTACGCTGCAACACTAGGAAGTGAGCTATGATCATCGGAACGAAAATTTGAACTAAAATGACTGTCCCGAGCCTTTCCTGGACATTGCACAATATACTTTCAGGTTGCGCAATAAGAACACCTAGTGTTCTAGTGGATGTACAGCTTATGGTTATTAAAGTTTCGATAAATGGGTGGTGGTAGCATTGTGAAACGACGACCGTGCTGTCAGGTCGGCGCCGTGCGCCACACCGCGACAGCTCTTCTCCGTTCGGCCGTATCATTACGAAACAAGAAAGGAAAGTTAAAGAGTTTTTTGCTTGAGAGAATGTCGCTCAACTCGCCCTGCATTTATTACTGTGCACTAAATCCCCGCACTACTGACCGCTCCACTTGTGACGTAACCGCAGCTTTGCACGCCAACTTGCACTTTTGTTTGTTTACAGAGTGTTGGCACAGATTACTTAATAGTTATGCACACACGGCTCCTGTTTTTCATTTCATATATGAACAATATCTCGTAAGTATGTTAACGGCAAGATTTATGAATCTAAAGCTTGATAAGCTGTAGAATTATTTCCAAGCCTACGCTTATAATAGAAAAAATTCAACTATAGAAGGAATTTTATTTACGTAGCAAACTCTATATTATATTAAATATATATGTATTCAAAAACAAATTTGCATAGAGATAGGTTCTTATTGTTGCTTTTTCTTCAACGTTTTTTTTCCAGTAATAAACCGTAACGTGTACATTTATAGTTTTTTTAGACCACACGTTCTAATTAAATATTAGATTCAATACCTCTTATTACTTTTTTAATAATCTCATTAAAACGTTTATTATCAATCGCTCGAATTTTGTTTTTATTCAATTATTTATTAAAATTTATCCCTCATAATATGATTATATTATATATGAGTATATACGTAAATTAAAACTTATGCATATACTGTACTGTAGTCTCTGTTTTAAAATAAAATTATATTAATTGAGTCCAGTAGATGAGACGGTGACCCTCTTTTTAAACTCGATCAGAATATTAAAACGTTTTGCTATTTATTGCATAAGTACGTGCGTTCTTTATGAGCAATTATGTAAAGCAGTGGATCGGAGCAATCGCAAGTGGGTAGACAAGAAGTATGGTAGATACACCGCCGAGTACGAGTACCGCGGTAATGGTAAAAGTGTTACGCGGTGCGCTCATTTCAACGCGCGCTGTGACGCAACGCCCCAGCGAATGTATGCCAAAAGTGCAGTCGAGCCTTCAATATAGATGGCGAAATTAATCTCACGAGAATAGATAATAAGATTTTTCAAGAAAAAGAAAAAAAAATCAAAAATTGACCAAAATTTATATGAAACTATATCAATCTTGGATAATACACTTTTTTTTTTTTTTAAATAAAATTGGAGTCACATCAAAATCGATTTACAAATTAGATAGCGAAATCATAAGAACACTGATATATAAGTTCGGCATTTTTTTTTTCTATTTATATAATAAATACTTTTTCACTTTATGTCTGATTGTTGTTATGAAACTGCTGGAAGATGTTGTAAGTAAACAACCTTCACTAATTAGTATAAACATTTCAACTTTACTTCAGACACCTTGAAGAGCGCCGTGATGTAAATTTGCATATCAAATGAACTAAGTTTCTGGTGATGGTAAACGCAACTAAGGAACACAGTTCTAAGATTGCGGTAAATTCGACAAAATTGAGCAAGTCGAATGGTTAGTCACTATGACTAGAGCTATGACGGTCAGAATTTATCTAAACTCTCATTTGAACAACTGAAATTAGAACATGTTTATTTTATTCTTATTATGAGATGTATGTTTGTACCATACACAATATGTGTATGTGTGTATATATAGTTCTAGTTTGCCACATTGGATTCTGATGTTCAATAGAGCGTTTATCACTTTCTATCAGTAAAATAAATAGTACGTCATTTTCTTTTGTCCTGCAAAACTTCTTATGCAACATTTTTTAAAGTTAAAAAGTAAATAAATAAATACTTGTGTGGACATATACTGCTTTATCTGTGTTTTTTTTTGGTAGAATAGCTAACACGTATGCATTACTAATACATAGTAGGTATCGTTATACTGAGAAAGAAAATGTTAAATAATCATATATGCAACTAGTCATTTACAATCAACACTAATAATGTTTCCAGCCGTTATCTGCCGCCCAGATAAGATAGAGTACAGTACCCCTTTGTTTATGCGCTGCACTCCTACATAAGACCTCAGATAATGCATTATCTACATAAATACGGTAAGTCCTATTTGCTTACTCACACGATGTGTCTGTTCTTTGTCTGTATAGAAATGCATGGTGAGACTATTTACTTGTCCTTTACTCTATGGGGGGGAGGGGGGATGTTACTGTATTATTGTATTGATAGATAGATATATAATTTATTTGCATTACTTACAGCACACAAATAAAAACAGACATAGACAATAAAAAGAGATAAAAGAATACATATAAAAAAGCAAAATACATAAAAGAAGTAACAACTTTTTCTTTTTATGTGCCCTACTACCAAATGGAGACAAATCAGTTTATTGCATTGTTTATTTTTTGTTTGTATGCAATATGTTTCGGGTGTTAATAGATTATCTGTTCTCAACCACCATGTAGTTCACTAAATAGTAATTTTATCACGTGGTATTGCCACTGACTATGTGGTAAAGTAAGCATATAGTTTACCCGTGTAGCAAGGTTTCAATAAAAACCGTTTAGCTGTTTAAGTGTCTTTGAGTAACAAATATTTTTACAAACATTCTCATTTATAGTATTAGAATAATTGCGATCTCCTACAAAACTAAAAGCGAATCTTCTAGAGGTCCTAAGTTGAAAAACTATCAAGTTATTGTCATATTAATGACGTACTTTCGTTATCAGTTAAACATTTCACAACATATTATATAAGTTAGGTAAGTAAGTAGTTACTGACTACGACTAATATAGATATGATCATGTATATTATGATAGTATATAGTATAACCTCTATACTTATTATAATAAATTACTTGAGATTGTAACAAGTACTTTACATCTTTATGGTTCCTTATACAAATTGCAAAAATGGAATTCCTACAATTGTGACGACTGTTTGTCATTTAGTTAAATCTTATCAAAACTCCTAATCCTTACTAATTTATAATAGTAAAAGTGGGTACCTCTCGGCACTTTAATGATCCATCCAACCTTAATGATCATATGGCATAAGCATATTATTTGGGAAAGAGAAGGACATAGGCTATTTTATATTGGCCATGCTGACGAAGTTGTGAGTAAAAACTAGTTAAATATAAATTATTAATTTTTTAAAAATTTATTTCATTAATTCATTAGTACATATATCGTCATAGTCGTAGAATACTGACGTTACTGTATCGCTGTATTATTTTGATTGTGTATTAATAGTAACTTAATAATAATTAAAATAAATGTATTATTTTAATTATTATTAAGTTACTATTGATAGTATAGTGTAATATTAATAAAGCAATAAATCACAATTATCATAAATTATAGTATAAAAATAATAATATAGTTATAATAATAATAATATACTTTGGTTGATAGGCAAGATATTAGCTGATATTAGAGAACAAAGACAAGATTGGAAACCAACCATGCCCGCGGCCGTGGGCGGTGACAATCGTCACAATTCCGTATGGCCGGCAATGAACCCTCGCATTTGCTCTGCCGAAACAATTAGCGACGCGACGCAAATCTAACCAAACTATTTACTGAGCTGCCATCTACGTATATGGCGACGGAAAAATGAATTATGCTAATAAATGAAATAGAAACAAAGCCTTATTTCTAATTTTATATAAGTATCCTTAATTTTTACTAATTATGTACGATAAATTATAAAATATAAAGTCTTACTTTTTCCCACATAAGTACTAAGACTATGCAAGAAATTGTGCTTGTACAGTGATATTGGATAAACCCAAACACGTTATTGATCGCTGTTTTTATATTGCTAGCATGTGTTTGATATTGCTACTCTAAACGGAAAAAAATAAAACGTTTACTATGTAATTATCTTATCTATATTGCAAATATAATATATTTACATACCTACATAAGTTCTAACAGCAATAAAATCATATGCAGGAGATAATAGATACTAATGTAAAACACGCCGGAATAAAAGTAGTAGTTTGAAAGGCAAGTTAAAACACCGTTAAAACGATCAAAATGTGTTTCGATAGCATTTTTGCACTATTGGGAATGGGAGACAAGCCAACGGCCCACGTGAATAAAAGTAGCAACCATCAACCGTTGTCGAGACATAAATGACATTATGGGCCATAGAACCCATCCCTCGTTGCTATTTCTAAGAACTAACTTCTTTTGTCTCTTGTGTCAGCAAACATTAGCTAACCCTTCAGATTAAAGCAATAGAAGCGTAGTTGCTTCAAAGCAAACGCAATACAATAATAGTTATTCCTAAACGATCCAAACAAATTTTAACCACCGGCGAACAGATTACAAATATTAAAAACGAATAAAATTAACGTAACAATATCACGATGAAATATTACAAAAATAATTATGACATGAACTAACAAAGATAATGTGACGTGACCTGGACAATTTTAAGGTCGTAGCATCATATTTCGCATATCGCTGAAGTAACAGTATATAAAAATTCCTATCTATTCTAGAAACTGGCTGTTGACTAAAATAATACTCTTCTCAGTCGTAAACAGTAACATCATTAACGTATTTACTTTAATTGTAACAGAGATAGCATTTATCAAACAAGCTTGGTAAGAACTAAGTATTATTTGAAAACGTTACTGTTGCAAACAAACATTATATTTTGTTTACAAGCGATACATTGGTTATAGCATGAAAATGACAGTTTAGTTATAGTAATGGCTATTATTTTATGTCGAGGTTTGACGTAAAATGATGGCACTTCACTTTTCCGTATATAAACAATCAGTTACAGTGACACTTTCATAATAGTTGTTAAGGATGAAGATCATCTGTCGCATGAATAAACAATTAAATATAAGTATTTACTTGTTTATTTAAATACTAATTCATACAAAGGTAAAATTTTCATTATTATAGCTACCTATATGCAAATGAAGGTTAAAATCAATTTTACACTTCACGGATCTAAGCCATTCTAATATTATGTCGCAAATGAATGTCGAATTTGTTTTGATTTCAAAGATGTCTATAATAAGATAACGTGTTAAGGTTTTTGGGTGTAACACATACACTGATGATGGATATTCAACATAACTAGCACTTGGCTGTCGCACTTACTTACGACTGCTACAGGGTCGTCAAGTAAGAACCTCCATCTTAGTGTTAAATATGACTACTATGTATTTGTTCGAGCCTCGACTCATAATGGCATCTTTAAATTGAGCAACTAAGCGTTCAAGGTGAGCCACATATTAAAAAACTAAACAATATTACGCGTGTTTGGAAAGCTTAATACCTTGACGACATTTGATCACACATCGAGTGGACTGCTCGAGTTTAACAAGATCGAGTCTCTCTCCACGAGGTCGATATGAAACTTCAAGGGAACAAAGGGTTGACTCATGTCCGGACCCCGGCCAGCGACGGAGAAAGGAACGATGCTAAAAATAGTACAGTGGCAGTTACGAGTGCGGCCATTGGACCTGGCCTACGCAACAACTTCTTCTTGCCCTCTTGGCCTGTATGACGCAAACGGCTCAATCATCTCAACGTGACATTAAGAGGCTATAAAACCGAGCCGACTAATATAAGATTTTCCGGAACCCAGAGTAAACGAGAGATATAATCATATACACGAAGAGACATTTATCAGATCAATAAAAGCATCAAATAAGCTCCGTGATCCACTAAAACGGTAATCAACTCACGTCGACCGGTTATAAATCAGTATTTTCCACATGTAGGTACCTTTGATTTCGTTACATAAGGCAGTGCAATGCTGGACATTTAGCACGCCAATGCAGGAAAATAGTTTTAAGAAATCGATCTAATATAAACAACCAAGTAGACTTGGTCTTAGAAGACCACCAACCAATAAGTATAGTAAGATCATATTACAGTAGGTACTTGCAAAGCGATTAACAGAAACGGCGCTACAAGTCCCACGCAGCATCACATTTCGCCAATGGAGCATGAGAGGAAATATTTTAAAATTACTTATTGTGTACAACAAACGCTGCGCTCGCACTACCTTACTCCCACGATCGGCAATTGTTTGCGTTGCACTCGAAGGTTTCTGCAATGTCTAGGTGTTGAGAAACGACGGAGGTGTCGACTTTGAGGCTAAAACCGGCTGTTTGAGAAACCTTTCGAGTTTAGATTGCGAAAAGTGTGGAAAGTTTGTATTTACTCGCATACAATTATGCAGAATTGTCAACCGACAACTGTCTATTTTTGTTTAATTTCAATTATAATGCTCCGTAACTATTTATAGTACAATATTATATACATTATTATTTATAGATTCCAAAAAAAATATTAGAATAAATAAAACCTCTCAGCTTAATTATTATAATAAAGTTTTAGTGAAAATAAGGTGTAATTAAATATAAAGACTAAAACTATCAAGAAAGTTATAGCAAACTAATTCTGCGGAAGTTTACACTGCATTGTGACAACATTTTGGCTCTTGAGGTAAAAACACAATGCTTTTATCGGCACACGTGAAAAGTTAATCTCGTCACGTGGCTATGTCTACATTAATCAACTCCTACAGTTGGCGTGTTTTACAAGTATAATCAGATGATTGTATAATTATTAACAATAAACTTCATATTACGAACGATTACTACTTTTGTAGACGCTCAAACTTCAAAGGTACAAACAATATTCTTATACTGAAAAAGCACCAAATAAGAAGTAAGGTTCCTTCTCCATAAAGGGACAATATTATATGACCCTACTATTTACTATTATGTTGAAGTCATCTCTATACTTATAGATTTTATTTCAAATTGTTCTACCTTTATGTTGGTGTATTGTACTTAATCCCCTACTAATACTGGGCGGTAAATAGGGAATAAAATCATCACGATGGACCAACTGACATGACATTACTAGTACCTCGATAACGTATACCGATAGTGCAGACTAAGTTAACATTTCATTTTCTAAAACACTAGTATGCAAAACTAAAATAGGTACCTAATACAATAATGTTAGTTGAACGATACTTCGAGTTGCATGCGAGCGTCGAGCATGGCGAGATTGCACGCTCCGCCGCCCCACGTGATTACACGCCTTACTGACCAACTAACAACCAGCGAAATAGGTAACAAATGGCAATCACAACAGCCAAAAACTGCTAACTGCCAATTGCAATCGCGAATTTGGAAATGGTTAGTAGATGTCACAATGTATCCCGTTTGTTATGTTACGTGATATGTGAATCTTAACAAGTACAATTTGCTTCACAAAAAAAACCGATACAATTCTTATTTTAAAAAAGACGAATCGTATCGATGAACGATAAAATACTTTGTAGATACATTACATTAAAAATATTAAAATTTAGAACGTAGTATCGTGTGTCTACAAATAGATTTTGTTTAGTAACAGTTTTTTACTCTGCAAGGAAAAATGGTCGCCGCAATTATCACAAACTATAGTGACGTTAACGTTAACATTTTCTGTTGTAAAAATAATTATCAAAATCGGATCAAAATTGACGATGAAATCAAATAACATAACCACAAAAGCAATCAGACAAAAAAACCAGACGAATTGAGAGAGTGCTCCTTTTGAAAGTCGATTAATTTAAAAGAAAATGAGAATAGGTATTTCTGGAAACATTACCTATAGATCATCATCATTATATCAGCCCTTAACCATCTAATACTGAACATAAACCTCCTCCGTGGGGGGTTTTGCCAGTAGTTATACCTATAGATGTTCCTTAGAATATAATAAATCGTCTATAATTCTACATCCACTAGGAAAAAGTCCCATAATACAAGACACCATAAGATTCAGCACAAGGAGAAGAAACGGAACAAAGAGCTTTTATCTCAGGACGAGAGCGGCACAAAAAGTATTGAAAATAATGGCGAGCGGTTGTATTTGTAAATAGGCAAGTGGCAGGTAGAACGTTGTAGGTGTATTCACAAGTTCAACGGTTTTATATGAGATTTTTTTGTGAACCTTTTACTATAGCGAACACTGAAAAGAAAATACGGTACGCACCTTTCAAAATTCCCACTGGCAAATAATACGTAGCGTACCATAATATAACTATATACGTTATGGTTTAATTGCATGGCAAAGTACATATTATAACTTGAACGGTATTATCATAAAGTTGTTAAATAGAAACCGTATTATTATTTAGTCATACTGAATATTGCGTTCACTAACAGTAAATTTCTAGATCTTCTAGGCAGTAAACATGTAATCATTGAAAAATAGCTTATGATGGTGATAAGTTTATGTTTTAAGGCAATTAAAAATATTTATTTTCATATTGCTATTAATTTATTAATACTGTAAGCAACCACGAGTCTAGATAAATAAACTCTAATTAACTTAGATCCTTTCAATCACTTAATGATCAGACGGAGACTTTGTACAAAAATAGTCTTGGATACCTTTGTCTCATTCTTATTTCTGCCGTAAAGCAGTTGTTTTCATAGTTGTGTTTCGGTTTGAAGGGTGGAATATGGCAATGAAATTACAGGGTACAAAAGCACACCTTAGTCACCAGGAATGGCAATGCATGAAGTCTACCATGGACGACCCAGTATACTCAGTGTCCTTTGTGCTATTCATGTTTATAGGCTACGGTTACCACTTTCCATCAGGTG